CACCCTCTCAGACCAGCCTATCAGACGACATCCTTCTTCCACCATCACCCTTCCCTTCTATAAATCCATCCTCCTTAATCCATGCATTCCATATTTGCATGTACCTCTAAATCACACATTGTTGTGGCGTGGTCCTTGCTTGTGAAATTAAGTTGATTTGTTAAGTTCAGTTCAGGAGCAGGGGGCCACGCCTCAACCACACCTCCAATCACCCATCAAGGCTACATATATCGCACCGCACCGCCTGCCCCGCTTGTTTCAGATTGCTGGATGCAAGACAGACAATGATCCACACTCAACAGCACACTGTTGTATCCAGTGGTCCCTCTCCTCCGTTTGCCTTTTGTCCTCTGCTGTTTCCCCCATCCTATTGTGTCCGTCTGTCTGTTTTTTCCCTAGTGTGTCCGTTTTGGTTGCAGGTGGGCATGGTTCTCTCTCCTGCGCCTCATTCCAATCAACTACCCGTTATCTACCCCCAGTCCAGCACGCCAGTATTCACCAGATCGACCGTGGTACACACCTTGGCCCGTTTTTTCATGAGCAACTAGTTTTCGTGACTTCCCGTTGCTTATGCTAACCTTGTCTGTTCTCCCTCGTCCATACAGAGCCACCCAAACCTGCCTGCCCGCCTGCCCACCTGTGCACCACTCGCCATTCCAGCCTCACCAGCTGCTCTGTATTTCCCCATCTGGACCTGGATCATTCCCCCTGCTCCTCCCGAGAACCCTACTGAACTGTATAATAAAGTCCCCCATTGCTCTCTACTGAACTGTTGTCTCTGTCGTGCCTTAGTCCTGTTTACGTGCTCGTAACACACACGCTTAACAGCACGCTTGTTTCAGATCGCTCGACCCACCCTCCCTTTCCCTTCCCTTCATCCATTCATCCCTACACACATCAACTCATCCTCTGTTCCCTCCATCTTCTTCTCTCTTCCCTGCTCCTCTCATCCCTTCACCCCCCATCCCCACTTCCCTCATCCCTTCATCCCTTCCTATTCAATCAGGGCACAGCTCTCATGTCTCATCTAGGTACCGTCCGGGGAGCTTGAAATAAGCTCGGGCGAAAACACTTCCGAGACGGAACCCCCACACTGAGTCTCTCTGCCCGGTCTTCTGTCCACTCTCTCAGACCAGCCTATCAGACGTCATCCTTCTTCCACCATCTCCATTCCCGTCTATATGCATTCGATCCTCCACAATCCATGTATTCCATATTTGCATGTACCTCTAAATCACGCATTGTTGTGGCGTGGTCCTTGCTAGTGAATGGGCACAGTGGGACCAGGTCCAGGAGCTGTGAAATGGTGTGCCCAATCATTTTTATGGAGGGGATTGAAGAGGCTGTTCTCTGACGGTCATGACAAGCATCTCAGAGAAAAACTTGCCATTCAGCGAGCCCTCTTGACAGATTCCCGCTGTGTTCCTCCAGATCAGCCACCTTATATTTCATATATAGGCAGGAACAAATGCCATCCAGGCCCATAACACACCCAGTTAAATACACCATTCATGGCCCGCCCACCCTGAGCCATGGTTCTGCTCGAGGTTTCTGCCTCTTAAAAGGAAGTTTTTCCTTGCCTCTGTTGCCTAGTGCTGCTCTTGGTGGGAACTGTTGGGCTTCTGTAAATATCATCACAGAGTACGGTCTAGACCTGCTCTTTTATGAAAAGCGCTGTGAGATAACTGTTGTTGTGATTTGGCGCTATATAAATAAAATTGAATTGAATTGAAATTGAATGGCCATTTACCCTAATGAGAGTTCCATCTAATTTAGCTCAAAGAGCCCTAAAGATGACTTGAATTCAGCAACAAGTGCTAACTTGTGCTGCTCAAGCAGGGTAGTGATAGAAGCAAAAATGTGCCTTGTCAAATTCTTCTTTTTGAAAGTTTTTCCTTGCCTAAGTACTCATTGTTTAAGATACAAGTACTCTTGCATTTCTGGTATTACACTGGCGGAGCTGGTTAAATACAATGACTGACAAAGTGATAGAGCAAAGGCTCAGCAAAGTTATAACCTACCTCTCTGGCATGGAATATGCAAGGCCGAAGTGCTCTGTGGTGGGTAATTAAACCTGCTGAGAAGATCATTGGTACCCATCTCCCGAGCATCAGTGATATCGGTGAAGTGAGATGCCTGCACAGAGCCCAAAGGATACTAAAGGACAGTACCCACCCAGACACAGCCTGTTCACCCTGCTGCCTTCTGGGAAGAGATATGGAAGTTTCTGCTGCCACACCACCAGACTGCAGAGCAGCATTTCCCCCCAAGCTATCAAACTCTAATTCATCCTCAGCACTGCTCCACTGAACATTGAATATTCTTTATTTCTGTTTAACATTTTTAGAACTGCTTCTGTATTAATGTATATTGTCTCCTATGTAGCAGAGGGGAGTTACAAAGCTCATTTCATCATATAACCTGTTATATTGTAACAATAAATGTACCTACCTACCACTATCTCGGCTAATTGCTCCTTCTGCTCTGAGGATGTGTGTGTGGTTTCCTCTAAGTTGCACAAACAGCAGTACAACAAGCAGCTCAGTGCGTTTGAAAGACTGCAAGAGTGAATGTGTTATGAGTTGTATTTTTTCCCCTGTGGGTTTTTGGGTTTTGCCGTTGTTTCATGTGTCCTTCTGTTTTGCCTCTGTTTCTCTCGTTTAGTTCATGTTTAGTGTTATTCCTGGTCTGCACACTTCTGTATCATTTTGTCCATGTTTGTGCTGTTATCTGTTTAATCTTAGTTCAGTCTGTTTTCCCTGTTAGTTGTAGTTTATTGGTATATTTGTGATCTGTCTGCTTGTGTTCTGGATCAGTAATTTATATTCTGTTTCTTCCTGGTTATTAGGTTCCCTATGGTTTTATTGGTGTCTCTCTGTTTTCCCTGCTGTCTCTCTGTGTCTCGTTAGCCTCATGTCTCTCACCTGTGTTGCTCCCGCCCTAGTCATTATCCCTGGTATACAGGTGCTGGTCATATAATTAGAATATCATCAAAAAGTTGATTTATTTCAGTAATTCCATTCAAAAAGTGAAACTTGGATATTATATTCATTCATTACACACAGACTGATATATTTCAAATGTTTATTTCATTTAATTGTGATGATTAAAACTGACAACTAATGAAAATCCTAAATTCAGTATCTCCGACAATTAGAATATTACTTAAGACCAATCCAAAAAAAAGGATTTTTAGAAATGAAAAGTATGAACATGAAAAGTATGAGCATGTACGGCACTCAATACTTAGTTGGGGCTCCTTTTGCCTGAATTACTGCAGCAATGTGGCGTGGCATGGAGTCCATCAGTCTGTGGCACTGCTCAGGTGTTATGAGAGCCCAGGTTGCTCTGATAGTGGCCTTCAGCTCTTCTGCATTGTTGGGTCTGGCGTATCGCATCTTCCTCTTCACGATACCCCATAGATTTTCTATAGGGTTAAGGTCAGGCCAGTTTGCTGGCCAATTAAGAACAGGGGAGACCATGGTCCTTAAACCAGGTACTGGTAGCTTTGGCACTGTGTGCAGGTGCCAAGTCCTGTTGGAAAATGAAATCTGCATCTCCATAAAGTTGGTCAGCAGCAGGAAGCATGAAGTGCTCTAAAACTTCCTGGTAGACGGCTGCGTTGACCTTGGACGTCAGAAAACACAGTGGACCAACACCAGCAGATGACATGGCACCCCAAACCATCACTGACTGTGGAAACTTTACACTGGACTTCAAGCAACGTGGATTCTGTGGCTCTCCTCTCTTCCTCCAGACTCTGGGACCTTGATTTCCAAAGGAAATGCAAAATTTACTTTCATCAGAGAACAGAACTTTGGACCACTCAGCAGCAGTCCAGTCCTTTTTGTCTTTAGCCCAGGCGAGACGCTTCTGACGTTGTGTCTTGTTCAAGAGTGGCTTGACACAAGGAATGCGACAGCTGAAACCCATGTCTTGCATACGTCTGTGCGTGGTGGTTCTTGAAGCACTGACTCCAGCTGCAGTCCACTCTTTGTGAATCTCCCCCACATTTTTTTATCATAGGTGCAACATTTTATTCAGTGTTGCCACTGGTGGCTAAAAGCTATACTGCAAGAATACTGATGAAGCAGCATACACTGTTGTAAAACATCTTCTGACCACAAGTGGCAGTACTGACTCCAGCGGATGAACGAGGAAGAAATATTAAGCCATCACTCAAGTGAAAGGCTATGTGACGGTATAACATGCACTTAGATGGGACTTACGGTGTGTTCACAAGGAAAGCGAATCGAATATTCACCTTGAGTTACATTCATAAGTTTGACCGCTGGATTATTTGCATTTACTTGAGCATTATCACAACCCATGAATGTTTGGGTTATGTAACATAATCTGGTTTACAGTGGTATAAACCCAAAATTAAGCTGATTACTTTGTCATGTCTGTCCACAAGACGACAAGCAATTTTTAAAACAGGTTAAGAAGCGAGAGTGAAGATTAACCCAGGAACAGCTCCGGATCTGTGAAGAATCCGATGTCTGCAAAGTCCTGCAATGCAGGAAAATTTTGCTCAAGGTGAAGATTTCAACTTGCACTTTATTTGTGTTGCCCAATTTGTAAAGGACCAATGGTAAGAACGAGCCATACGTTTGTATGTATTATGGTAATCTTTCAAATAAAATCTGGTGAGTTTGCAACTGTAGTAGTATTAAGTCTGTGGAAAGTCCATAAAAACTCCTTTGATTTGATGAATTGTGGATATAGACATCCCTGGGTGTCTACTAACATCACAGTTAGGTGCCTATAATGTTGACAACCCTGCTGAATTCAGCCAGTTTTTTAATAACTTTAATGTCATATTTTCTTTCTTTACACCTGCTTGATAGATTTGTTTTTTCCACCTTATAAGTTCTTAGTTTGTATTGTCAACATTCTCTCTGAGATTTTATGAATGGCCTAGTTACAGTTAGGTTAAGGTTCCCATTGACCTGGATCAAAATTCCCACTAGGTGTGGAGATTCTCTGCATGAACTCACGTCTCAGTTTTGTAGGTGGAGCACCTCTCCAGCGGGATCTTCAGGACTTGGTTGTTGAGCCCAACAAAGAGCGACCTGTCGCTGTGCAGGATTTGCAGGCTTAGGATTGGTTCGCGCACCCCTGGTGGGAGAAGCTCCATCTCCTCCAAATAACAGCCTTGTAGATTCTTATTAGGTGTAGCCAGTGCCTTTAAGATGGTGCCATATTCTGATTGGACAAGAAGAACTTTTCAGAAATATCAGAAAGCTCTTGTATAGAGACAAATTAAAATGCACATTTTTGCTTGATATTTCTTTTTCAAATGAGAAATGTTTCTACTTAATATAAGTGAGGTGTGTGAAAATAAGTTAGGTTGCTCCTTTCTTCTCCTTTACTAACCTGTGCTGATGTACATAACATGGTAGAGGCTGTCCATGCCCTGAACACTGTCCACAACCAAGTTGGAGAAGCGAACGTCATCCTGCACGAGCACCGGATCAACAGACTCTGGCTGGACCACGTCATTCATTAGATAAAGCCGTTGGGCATCCTGTAGGCTGCGCTCCGTCAAACCCTTGTCAGGACCTCCGTCATCTATAGTACCACACTGAAGATGAAAGGCGATGGGGTGAGAGAAGAGAGAAGGGTGAGGTGTAAGAAGAGAATATGAAAATGTGTGATGGAAAAATGAAAAAGGCAGGCAGAAAGAACACAACAAAGGAAGAAAAAACAAACAGTGCACCTCACTCACTCATTGTACTTACTATATCAATACACTGTGTCTGGCTAGATTGTTTCAATTCTTCATTCTCTTCTCAGTAATTGTACCTTTTTCAGCTGAGCAAAACAACAGTGTGATTGTGATGTGACAACAGAGCAATTTAATGAGACACTGCAGAAAAACAAATATAAAATGACAGCCTTCTGAAAGCTTTGTTGAGAGATTGATTTGTTCATAGATTGCATTTCTGGATTTCTTTGGAGCTATAGACAGTTATGGAAGTATAACAATGTTTTTTCAATTTTAGTAGGTAACTGATATCTATATTATTAGATATCCGAAATCTAAATTTTTCATACTTTTTTCTTGTGAAATAATGACGAATCTTGCAGATTCTTACAGTACTACACTGCGCTTTGTTACCTTTAATATGTTATTTAGTGATAATCAGAACATGTAATAAGTTCCACAGAAAGTAAAATAATTATTAGTTTGGGAATCTGAGTTTTGGGATACACTCTGTTCACAGGCATTTCTGCCCATAGACACTAACCTGTGCAGTTAGCTGGCCATTTAATTTTTTTGTTGTTGATATCAGTCTGTAAGGTAACCATAGTGGTTTTAGATACTTGCATAGAGATGGTTCAGTTTTGCTAATTTAAAAATAAACATAATTTAGAGAGTTTTCATTTGAATGATACAGCCTGGGGGCAAAACCTGTCTGAGAAGACGTGTTCTTGGAAAACACAATCCTTTCTCCTGAAGTAACAAGGAAATGTGTTTATTGGGATTTAGGCTTGTTTTTACTTGGTTCTGAATTTGATCATCTGTATGCAGAAAAACTGCAGCAATTATTAAAAGTGGTAAGCATTCTTCCTGTTTATGCTTAAAAGAAATTGACTTAACGACTCAGTGTTGCTTGCTCTGTTTCTTAGTACAAGAAACATCTTGGCAAAATATGCCGTTTTTCCATTACCAGTGCCAGCTCAACTCGCCTTGCCTCGCCTCTACTCGACTCGGTTTGGCCGCGCTCCGTTTTCCATTGCAGATTCTACCCAGAGATAGCACCCCTCAATGTAGCTGGTCGTCATAGCGACGCCACACACAACTGCCACAATGTAATGTTCAATGCAACACACACACCAGCGACCCACACAGCTTTCTCTTGATTTAAGTTAAAACGTTTCAACATTCCTCAGAATGTGAAGACAGATAAGCGGTATGAAAACCTTCCAGCTGTGTTTTCCTCTGCCGTTGTTGCTGTAGCGGTCTGTGTGACGGCGGGAGCAGAGGGCTCTGTGAGTGGGCGGCTGGCCGGCCTCACGTGCTCCTCCCGCGGGTCACAGCAGGCTTCTCCCGCAGCCACTTGCAGAGCTCCTCAACTCCAAAAACATTCAAGCACATTTTTGTTCCGCCATCACTTCTCGTAAAACTGTCAATATTCGAAATGTACACAGCTGATTTCTCACCTCAAAACTTCGTATGAAAACTGTAAAATATAAAACTTTTTGCTGCTGGTCTCTTTCTGGCGCACACAATGATGATGCAGTGAATAGTGAATATTCTCTCTGACCAATCAGCAGTCTGTCGTGTTTTCACGTCACATTTTAGTATCCCTCAGCTCGCTTGGAACCTCAGTGAAGGTGATACGAAAAAAAGTACCTGGAAGCAGGTAGAGGTACAACTTTTCCGCAATGGAAAACCAAAAAAAGGAGTAGAGTCCAGTCAAGCTGGTACTATGCAGTGGAAAAGGAGCTATATGGTGGTTTTGTCACAGATGGCCAACTTAATTGTGTTCAGAATAATGTGGATTGATTTAGGATTAGACTAGTCTGGATGTGGTTAAGTGGTTAAACTAACCTGGAAGTTGTGGATGGGGTTGGGCGTGGGAAGCCAGGTAGAGCGAGGGTTCTCTTGGGAGCGGAAGGGCCCGTTGAAGGCCTTGGTGATGGCGCTCAGATTGAAGGCACACACCGCAGATGCTGCAATAGTGTTGCTTTATAGAGAGATGGATAGGAATGACATGACAGCAAAGGGAAGATAGCAGGGAGCAGAAAATGGCAGAGGGAGAAAATGAGAGGATGGGGGCAGCATTAACAGCAGTAACCATGGATGCAAGGACAACAATCACTGGATTACTTTTGAAACAGAAGACAGAGCATGAATTTGATGATGAAAAGGCAGATTGGAAGTTACAAGGAGAAACTGCATGAAAGCTCATTCTTGACCTTTGGGAATAGTATATGGTGAAGACAATCTAAGCTCAAAAGGTCCACTTACTAGTTAGTTTAAGCTTTATCTTCACCCACATTAAAGAAGAGGCTTTCACTAGAATGTTGGGATATAAACTGATCGTATGACCTCCGCACATTCTGGTTTGGCTGATTTATCACACAAAATGCATCAAAAATCTTGCATGCTTAATAGAAATAAAAATAAAAACATATGTCTTTATTCCTTTTCTAATATCCTTATTTTTACCTTGAAGGTGTTTCTAAGCCGCTTAAGAGATCTATGATTACATTTACATTACATCTTTTGAATACTACTTTCTTTCAGCAATCCAGTTGTGGATTGTGAGAAAACTAATGTGCTCTGTTATTGCCAGAGGTTGGAAAAGTGATGCGCATCTAAACAATGAGGAAGGCCATGCAGGTGGCTCATTGACTGACTTGCAGCCTGCATAAGAGAACAGTCTCCAGACCTCTGTAAAAGAACTTTTCCTTCTTCTTTTTTTCAATGGCTCTGATGGAGACAACAGTGACAAGGAGGCTGAGACTAGGAGTGTGATGTAGAGTGAGTGCTGTGGTAAACCGGCGGTAACCAATCCCCAACTGTAGGAAACCAAATGCAAAGCGAGCAGAGCGGCAGTTAAAAGCTTTGGTTGTACAACAGAGAATTGAGAAGATAGATAGATAGGCGCTACAGAATGAGGTGGTCCATTTCTAAAAATAAATAAAATAAATAGGCCTCCAATTCGACAACCACATGTTAAAACGAAACATCTAACGATGTTCATCATAAAACAATATAGCAATAATAGACTGCAACACAGGGGAACATTTCCATAACAATCACCATCACTTCAACAACATCATCAACATCAGTACTATACATGTTATAACAACCCCATCACTATTTAATTATTTAACTCTATCTACTTCTCCGGACTGAGTTTAGAAAAGAGATGGCAGTCGGAACGAATGAGTGCCTGTATCTATTGCTCTTTACTGGGGGTAATCTGAAACTCCAAATGAAGGGGGTGGGAGCTATCAGCAATAACTGATTTGACCTTCCTAACTACCTGTCTATTATACAGGTCAGTGAGGCTACACTGCTGGACACCTAAAATTTTACTGCTGACCTTCACTATATTGGAAAGAGCAGTTTTTGGCCTTAACAGTGAGATTACCATACCAGCAAATTACAGAGAATGTTAATACAGACTCAGTGTATGATTTATAAAAAAGGGTCATGAGGGTCTTATCATCATGAAACTTTGACAGTTTGCGAAGGCAAAACAGTCTTTGTTGGCCTTTTTTGCAGAGCATCTCAGTGTTGGAATTAAAATTCAATTTATTGTCAATCAAACTGCTGAGATACTTATATGTTTCTACGAATCACACCATCTGCCCATTGATGGTAGTGTTCTGAGGAGTTGATAATGTGACGTACGGACATTCCAGAGGTTGCTGACGTACTGCGGTAAGCGTGTCGACTCATTTCCGTTTCCGGTGCTTGTGTGTTGGTACCGTGTTGTGCTGCTCTCGCTAAATACCAGTTACATTTGTTAGATTACAGCGGCCAACTGTCCGCTAAACACTTATTCTTACAGTAATTTTGCCTAAGCACTCACAGTTCTTTCCATCTTTTAGTGACTGCTGTTCAATCTCATAGTTGTTCTAAAGTTTTGGTAGCTGACGCTACAGTACTTTAGCTTAGCCGTTAACGACTTTAGCTTAGCAGCTAGCGATGGCTTCTCCTTCTCCCTCTCTCTCTCCTACTTTCTCCTGCTCGGTGTGTCAGATGTTCAGTTACTCCTCTGCAGATCATTGGCAGACTTTCTGGGGAAGACCTGGTCTGATTCAGAGAGACGGCATCCATCCCACTTGGGAAGGAGCAGCTCTCATTTCTAGAAATCTGGCCAAGTTTATTAGTGGACCAAATCCATGACAACCCAGAGTTGAGACCAGGAGGCAGAGTCGCAGTTTAACACACTTCTCTGCCCTTCTTTTTCAGCAGTTACCCACCCAAAACCCTACGCAGAGTCGCAGTCTAACACACTTCTCTGCTCCTCCATTTCAGGAGTTACTTAGTGAAAATCCTATAGTGACGGTGTCTGCCCCCCGACCATCGAAATTATTTAAATCAAAGGTAAACAGAAGAGGAGCTGTGCATAAAAACATCATAAAAATTAAAACCACAAGAGCAATAGTGAAAACGAATAGGAAAATTAAATGTGGACTCTTAAACATCAGATCTCTCTCTTCTAAAGCTGTACTAGTAAATGAACTTATATCAGATTATGATATTGATTTATTTTGTCTTACTGAAACCTGGCTGGGTGATGGAGAATATGTTAGCCTAAATGAATCCACCCCTCCCAGTCATATTAATACTCACATTCCTCGAGGCACAGGCCGAGGAGGTGGAGTTGCAGCTATCTTCGACTCTAGCCTACTAATCAGCTCTAAACCTAAACTATAACTCATTTGAAAGCCTTGTTCTTGGTCTTTCACACCCAAGTTGGAAATCACTGCAACCAATTCTTTTTGTTATAGTGTACCGAGCACCCGGTCCGTATTCTGAATTCTTATCTGAATTTGCAGAGTTTTTGTCAACTTTAGTCCTTAAAACGGACAAAGTTATTATTGTAGGGATTTTAATATTCATGTGGATGTTGAGAATGACAGCTTCAGTACTGCGTTTATCTCTCTGTAAGATTCCATGGGCTTCTCTCAGAGTGTTCATGAACCGACTCACTGTTTTAACCACACCCTCGACCTTGTTTTGGTGTATGGTATTGTAATTTCAGTCCCTCGCAAATCGATCATCTTGTTGATAGTGCTGCAGGCTCGCTGCGAATGACACTGGACTCTGTAGCCCCTCTAAAAAAGAAAATACTAAAACAAAGACGGTTAGCTCCATAGTATAATACTGAAACTCGCAAACTAAAGCAAATATCGAGGAAACTTGAGAGGAATTGGCGTTCCACCAAAGTGGAAAATTCTCGTTTAATTTGGCAAGATAGTCTTAAAACTTATAGGAAGGCCCTCCGTAATGCCAGAGCAGCGTACTACTCGTCATTAATAGAGGAAAATAGGAACAACCCCAGGTTTCTTTTCAGCACTGTAGCCAGGCTGACAGAGAGTCACAGCTCTATTGAGCCAAGTATTCCCATAGCTCTCAGTAGTTACAACTTCATGAGCTTCTTTAATGATAAAATTCTAGCTATTAGAGACAAAATTCACCAAGACCTGCCCTCAACTGGCACCGACTTATCTCTTAACTCAGGAACCTTAGAAACAGCTGTAGAACCAGATACATGTTTAGACTGTTTTGCTTCCCTCAATCTTTACCAACTAACTTCAATTATTTCTTCATCTAAACCATCAACCTGCCTCTTAGACCCCATCCCGACTAGGCTGCTTAAAGATGTTTTACCCTTAGTCAGCACCTCTATACTAGATATGATCAATCTATCTTTATCAACAGGCTATGTACCACAGTACTTTAAAGTAGCTGTAATTAAACCTCTTCTGAAAAAGCCCAAACTTGATCCGGATGTTTTAGCCAACTATAGACCTATATCTAACCTTCCATTTCTCTCTAAGGTTCTGGAGAAAGCAGTTGCTAAACAGCTGTGTGACTTTCTACAGAGCAATAGTTTATTTGAGGATTTTCAGTCAGGATTTAGAGCTCATCATAGCACAGAGACAGCACTGGTGAAAATTACTAACGACCTCCTTATTGCATCAGACAAAGGACTTGTCTCTGTACTGGTTTTATTAGATCTTAGTGCTGCATTTGATACCATTGACCATCAGATCCTATTGCAGAGACTGGAATATTTCATTGGCATTAAAGGAACCGCTCTAAGCTGGTTTAAGTCCTATTTATCAGATCGATTTCAGTTTGTACATGTTAATGATGAGTCCTCCATGCACGCCAAAAACTAGTCCATGCATTTATTACTTCTAGGCTGGATTACTGCAATTCCTTATTATCAGGCTGCTCGAAAAAGTCCATTAAGACTCTTCAGCTGATTCAGAATGCTGCAGCACGTGTTCTGACAGGAACCAGGAAAAGAGATCACATTTCTCCTGTCTTAGCTTCTTTGCATTGGCTTCCAGTAAAATCCAGAATAGAATTTAAAATCATTCTTCTTACCTACAAAGCTCTTGATGGTCAGGCACCATCTTATCTTAAAGAGCTCATAGTACCTTACTACCCCACCAGAGCACTGCGCTCCCAGAATGCAGGGTTACTTGTGGTTCCTGCCAGAGCGTTCAGCTATCAAGCTCCTCTCCTGTGGAACCAGGTTCCAGTTTGGGTTCAGGAGGCAGACACCATCTCCACATTTAAGAGTAGGCTTAAGACTTTCCTCTTTGATAAAGCTTATAGTTAGGGCTGGCTCAGGTGAGTCCTGAACCACTGGTAACTGAGACGGACTGTGAGACAGAGAGACAGGTGGACTATAAGACTGTGAGACGGACTGTGAGACAGAGAGAGAGGTGGACTATAAGACTGTGAGACGGACTGTGAGACAGAGAGAGAGGTGGACTATAAGACTGTGAGGCGGACTGTGAGACAGAGAGAGAGGTGGACTATAAGACTGTGAGGCGGACTGTGAGAGACAGAGAGAGAGGTGGACTATAAGACTGTGAGGCGGACTGTGAGAGACAGAGAGACAGGTGGACTATAAGACTGTGAGGCGGACTGTGAGAGACAGAGAGAGAGGTGGACTATAAGACTGTGAGACGGACTGTGAGACAG